TTGGTCTCGGGAGTCACTTACACAGAGAGAAAGAGTGTCAAGAACAGACAGCCCTGGTTATCTGAGGTCTTTTCTAAAGATGAGCCCCATCTCCATTTCCAGTCCATGTTGCTCTTAATTCCACTGCTACATCTCCAGCTGCCCACTGAACTATGTCATCTCGAATTCAACATATCAACACATCACCATCTTCCCAGAAACCAGTTCCCAATTTAATTTTCTTAATTCTTTTAGCATAAAAGACTACCAAATTTCGTATCAAATTGACCTGGGTTCAAATAGATCTGCCATATACAAACCATGAGACCTTGGGCAACTTAACCTCCATGGGCCTCAGCTTTCTCTTCTATATAATGGAGACAATAATAACACCTTTCTGGGAGGAACTAAATGAGATGATTTGTATATAATATATAGCATAGTGCTTGGCACCTAGCAAGTGTTCAGTGAATGTCATTATTGCATTCATATTGTCATTACTGCATTCATATTGCTTTTTCTATTATGTCTCAGGCTTGAAACTACCTCCCTTGCATCCTCATTTATGGTAAAGCCCCAACCTGAGAAGTAGGAGACATAAGAGGGACCCACAAAGGAAGAGCAAAAATTTTATGCAATTCATGCTTCCTGGAGTGAGTTCATCAGTCTGGCTTTGGGGGCTGCTTCTGTAGGATTTCTTTTCTACACCCACCATGGAGGGAGTTCAGCTCTAACCAAGAACCCCCTGCTCTTCTTCTTCCAGACCTCCTTCCTTGGGGATCACAGCCAGTGTCATTGTTGTACCTCTCAGGGACCTCTTTTCAGTTAAAGCCTGCATTTGTATCACGCAGTCTCTGCCTTCCCAAAATGCTCTCCTTTCCCTCCAAGTACCTAGAATCAAAAGTTTTACAAATCATCTAGTCCAACTCCCAAAAAAGTTGAATTTCAAAATTAAGGCAGTCATTAAAAAAAAAAACAAACCTCACACAATTATTTGAGTGAAGTGGGCCTTCCCCCAACCAATCTATGTGTGTTTACCAGTCATCATTGCACTGTGTATTGTACACAGACATTTGAGCTTTAACTGTGCGATACAATAACCACAGTTGTGAGTCTGTGACTTATTCTAACATCTTCGTACCTGATAGGCCTACTATGTGCTCAAGCCCCTCAGAGATACTCCTTAAGTATGGATTGCTAATGATTAAAGACAGACTGGAGGGCTGATCACAAAAAAAAAAAAAAAAAAAAAAACACACATTTGTACACAATGACAACCCCTGAGGCACATGGTAAACAGAAGATGAAAGCAGATTCCAAGGAGACATGCTCGGTATTTGTACACAGTCAGGGCAGAACAAAGGGAAATGGGGTGCCTCGGAAGTGGCAGGCAAGGAAAGCAGGCAGGACAGACTGTAAAATGAGACAGGGAGAGTGAATGAGGGCACTGGGTCGCATCAACTGCCGCTTAGCTGCCCCCAGAGGGTGTCATGAACTGGAAGAAAAGGACAAGGGGAGGGGGAGTTGATGCCATAACTTGGAAAGTGTTGAAGAGTTGGTTGCAGATGAGAAGCAAAACCTTAGCCAATTTCTAGAAGGGTCCCAAGCTCCTGCCCTCTGAGATCTCCGAGACCTATCCTGCCTGGCTCTTCTCCAAGCTGCTGCAGAGTTACAGCAAAAGGCTGGGATGGCAGGATGGGGAAGGAGTTAAAGCTTGCACTAACAACAAAGATGTCAATCCTGATGATTGCTGGACCCCTGCTTGGCCAGACAGAAGAAACCCTGTGGCAGCTAATGCCCTCCATTTATTTGGTGCTTTCAACTTACTTCAAATGTCCTCACACTAATGATCTCATTTAATCTTCAGGCAACCGCGTGAAACAAGCTGGACTGGGATTATTATCTCTATCACGCTCCTCCAAGCTTTACCCTGTGGATCATTGAAGAGCCCTCAAATTGTTTCTGCCATCCTGAAAAAATCCAACACTGAACAAGGCAGTGCCTTAGGGGCTCTGGGAGGTTCAGGTCCTCTGTCTAGACAGATTGTCCTGGCTGGGTGTGATGCAGAGTCACAAGATATGGACTCATTTCCCTCCTGGAATTTCCCAGGCACCCTCTCCCTTTGCTTATACCCGAAAGCCTGGCATATAATGACCACTGCAGCCACTCCCCAGAGAGCTATGTCAGTCTTCTTTCCCCTCATTAGGCAAATGGGAAACCTGAGGCTGAGAGAGGCAAAGGCCTTTGCCCTGAGTCACCCAGTGAGCAAACCTGGGGGGATCTGCAATGAAGCAGGAAGAGCACAGGTTTGGGGTGTCAAAAGGCCTGGGTTCCTGTCCAGGCTCTTCCATTCATCAGCCAGGGTCTCCGAGGTGGTCATTCAATTTCCCCAGTCTTGGTTTTCATAACTGTCAAATGGAAATAATAATACCCATCTCTTGTGGTTGTTGGGAGGATGAAATGAGATTAAATGCCAAAGTACTCTTTTTAAATAAAAGGGTTGTATTAATACGAATTACTATGATTATAAAGGAGCACGGGCAACAGGGTCTGCCATAATGGAAAGAGGCTAGAGCAAGTACAGAGTGCTGGCTCAATGGAAAATTTGGAAACGGATAACAGTGATGATTGAACAATACAATATGATGAACATAAGTTAATGTCACTGAATGTACATGTGAAGAATGTTGAAATGGCAAATGCTTTGTTACATTTAATTAACCATTAAAAAAAAGAAAGTCCCAGTTCTCCTCTTATCGCCTGTGTAACACTTCCATAGAGATATCGCCTCAGAAACCCAAGGAGGGGTCGCTATGAGTTGGATTCGACTCAATGGCAGCGAATTTCGTTTTTGGTTTAACACTGGTCAAGTCAGAGCCTGCTTTTCAAGGCCCCTGTCTGCTTTGAGATTGTGGGGGTCCATGGGCTACTCCTTTGGTGCAAGAATTCTGGCATGGCTGCCCCAATCTTGACTGTACCCCATAATCGCTTTGGATCCAAAGGCCTTATTGAGCAGACCCAATCCATTCCAAACAATGGAAATCATCGCTCCATCCCCTCTAGCCATTTCCTCAGGAGGATGAAATGTGTTTCAGTACTCTCCTCTCTTCTTAGACTCTGATGTACCCCCCACCTTTAAGACCCAGCAGGCTGTGTGTGTTTGTGTGTGTGCGGGCGTGGTGGTGGGGGTTCTTAATCATAAAACTAATAATAGATTGCCCAACGCAAGACTTCTCAGGTGAAATTGTAGATTGCCTGGATTCCTTCTCTCGCAGGGAAAGGGAGAGTCTAACTGCCCTGTCTGATATTCTGCTTCTCCCAGAATAGTACCTGAGCCTTTCCTTGAGCACAACCCTTGCTAAGCTCATGAAGGTGAATTAATATTAAACATGTAAGGCCGAAGCCCCTGGTGCAGCAGTACATTCCCATGACAGACAATGGCAAACAGCTCATCGGTCGCTCCTCAGAGGTGGCAGCTCTCCTCCAGCCGAGGCTTTCCTCTCCCCAGCCCACACTCCTGAGAGGAAATGAGAAATAGCAATGCTTTGCTTTTCCCAGAAAGTGAACAGCTCATGGTTCCCTGTATCCTTCCTCCATCCCTCAGTATTGAGGGTCATAAAAAAACCAAACCCACTCACTGCCCTCCAGTTGATTCTGACTCAGAGAGACCCAACAAGACAGCGCAGAACTGCTCCCTCTATAAGCTTTCTAAGGCTGTAATCTTCACAGAAGCAGACTGTCACATCTTTCTCCCCTGGAGCAGCTAGTGGGTTTGAACCACTGATCTTCTGGCTAGCAGCTAAGTGCTTTAACCTCTGCACTACCACGGCTCCTGTAGAGAGCCCCAGGAATGTAAATGCCTGGAACTTTTGAGTTGTGGCACCTGCAGCATTGAAATTTAACAGGTCTGTGGCTGACCATGATGCAGCTTCCATAGCTATGCCTGGAGGCCCCCACAGGGAAGGGAACAGCTCAGGAAGGGTGCTGAGACCCTGGCATCTCTCAAGGCAATGGGAAATTGTTTCTTACTGGGATGAGGCCTGAGTGTGGAGCCAGCTGGTTTGCTTCTGAGATTAACACAGGTGATAGAGTTGTCAGGCTAGAAAAGCCTCAGAGAAGCCCAGGCCAACCCTCTATTTTACACAAAGGGAAACTGAGGCCCAAAGAGATGGGGAAAATAACTTGTACAAGGTCACTCAACAAGCTATAGAATAGCTAGGACTAGACTCCAGGTCTCCAGTATACAGCCTGGTACTCTTTCCATCCTACTTCCTATGTGATCCCTTTGAATCTCTTTCCAATGATTAAGCAATGACCTCACCTCATGGGCCCAGTGGACTATTTTCATAGGGGGCAGGATCCATTCATGGTCCCACTCTGCCACTCAAGAACTCAATGAGCATGAGGCCCATGGGTTCCAGCTCAGCTCTGTCACCTTGTAGGATGGAACCTTGGTCATGTCACTTCTGCATCTTAGTCCTTCGTCTGTAAAATGGAGATTTAAGAACTGCCAACCTGGATGGCTATTGTAAGGATCAGATGAGATCATGCATGTGGGGGCATTTTGTAAACTGTGAGGTGCTCTCCAAAAGTCAGATATTATTAATAAATGTGTGATGTGAAGTCTGAAGCTTCTGTAAAGGGAGGAAGTTGCAAGGGAGCAGGCTGGTCAGGAGAACCCACACTCACAAAAAGCTGAGCTCTTGCCTGGCCATCCCACTAACCTGATTAATACTGGGGCCACCAGTAGAGAGTGACAGGCAGCAGGTCAGACCACCCAAGCTTACTGGCTTGAGAGACCACCTGCCTGCTTTGCTTAGTGTGTTTGTATGTGTGTCCCTAGAGGCTCTGTCAGTCTGGTATCACAGGAATTTGCCTGGCTGCTCCAGGGACACATTTGACAGGAGAGCAATGTGTGATGCTGAGGGAGGATACCCCACTTCATGCCAGGCCACAGACCATCAAAGACCCACAGATCCCCCATGGACTTCTGAAGGCCACCACTCCCTTTGGGGCCTTACCTTGTACTTGGCAGCGAGCAGCTCTGTGGCCTGCTGTTCCCGCCACAGGTCCTCCAGCATCTTCTCCTTCTCCTCCAGTAGCTTCTGCTTCTCCTCACTCACCAGGCTGCGGTCGTCCTGGATGGCTGCCTTCTCCTCCTCCAGCCTCTCCTTCTGCTCCTGCAGGTAATTCTCCATGTTCTTCTCCAAGGCTGACTCCAAGATGGGCTGGGGTGGGCGGTGGTTGTTGTTGTTGTCATCCTCCTCTTCGGCCACCCAGGCCTCGATCACTGGCCCTTCAGGGTACCCCGCTGGGGCTGACACGGCCTTCTTCTTGCGGCTGCTCTTCCTCCGGGGCCGCTTCCCCAGCATCCCCTTCTTCTCCAGCTGGGCCTTCAGGCGGGCAATCTCCTCCTGGAATTCCCGCAGCAGCGTGTCCTTGGGGTCTTCATTCACCCGAGGCTTGTTCTTGATGTTCTTGGCTCGGTTGGCAAAGCGCAGGGTAGAGAGGCTCTCATCATAGCTGTGAGAAGCTGGCCCTAGCGTGGCCACCATGATGGTCTTGGCATTTCCCCCCAGAGAATCCTGGAGCAGTCGGGTGAGCTTGGAGTCCCGGTAGGGGATATGTGTGCTCCTGTTGCCTGCCAGAGCGGCGATCACATTGCCTAAGGCAGACAGTGAGAGGTTGATCTTGGAGGCTTCTTTAGGCCTCTCTCCACCACCACCACCACCACCTCCACCACCGCCACCTGAGGACTGTGTGGTTGTCCCTCCTGTTGTATTGGGGCCTGCCTTGTTCTGCCTCTCACTGCCAGCCAGGTCCACCAGGTTGAGCTTGCCCACACGGATGTGGTCCTGGCCATCAGAGCCACGTTCACTGCACTCCACCGTGATGACAAAGATGGCATGGGAGCGGGAGCTGACCTCATTCATGTGTGTGCTGCCCACTGCTCGGGTCTGGTTCCCCAGGTTCATCACATGCTCAATCTCCTTGACATTCTTGGTGACAAAGGAGGAGAGGTCCTTGATGTAGACACCCGTCTCGGGGTTCTCCTTCAGCTCTAGCCTCTTGCCTGGCTCCTTGGAGAGCAGGTCTCGAATCTCCTCCTGATAGATCTCCAGATAGGAGGCCCGGACCAGATACTGCTGGTTCTGGGAGCGGGAGATGTGGGTGAAGATGTGTTCAAAGGCGTTGGGGATGACCCCACGGAGTTCCGGCTCCACCCAGGTACCCTGCATGGTGTAGGTCTTACCAGTGCCTGTCTGGCCATAAGCAAACACCGTGCCATTGAAACCCTGAAGCACCGAGTCTACCAGGGGCCTCACAGTTTCATCATAGAGGTCTGCCTGCTTAGAGCTGGGGTCATACACGGCGTCAAATGTGAAGGTCTTGGGCAGCTCTCCCGGGGCTGCACGGGGGTTGCGCAGGGTCACCTGGCCCAGCTTCACATCCATGGTCAGGATCTGCTCGTGACCAGCAGCCTCCTCTTTCCGGCTGAGGGGGCGGCACCGGGCCACCACCTTGAGGGCCTCGCTGGCCTTGGTTTTACTGGCCATCTTGTCGCTCGGCCCTTCCTGCCCCGCTCCCCTTCCCCGCCTGGGCGGTCTTTCTGTCCTCGCTAGGTCTGGATCCGCGGGGCCGGCCCAGCCCCCAAGCGCCCCTCTTCAATCCGCATGCAGCCTCCTAGGGTGGGGATGCTGGGAGGTGGCCCCGCCGCTGCTGCAATCCGGGCCTCCACTGCTCTTCAGTCCTTGCTGCACCGGCTGAGGAGGTAGAATTAAGCAGAATCCCCGGGCAGCCGCGGGAACAGCGGGTGCACTGCCGGCCGAACGGCAGCGCCCAGAACCCGTCCCATGCTGAGGCAGAGGGAGCGCTGCCGTAAACAGCGACAGCAACAATGAGATAAAGGAAGAGAAAAATGGGATGGGGGTGGGAAGCAGAGATGTCTTCTCCTCCTCCTTCTTCTAGGGATCCATAGCGGTGACAGCAGATGCTGGGCGGCCAGGGGTCCCGGCCCTCCCGAGGGCAGAGGCTCACCTGGAGTCCTCCCCCCAAGCTGGGGGATCATTCATTGCAGCCAACGCTGCTGCTGCCGCCTCTGCCTCCGCCTTCACCGCCGCCGCCACCGGAGAATGAGAGAGAAAAACAGAAGGGGATGGGGCGGAGCAGCGGCGGCGAGAGTGATGTTGCCGCGGCGCTGCAGCCCAGGCTAAGCCTCTCCGCTGGGGTGGGGCAAGGGGCGGGGCCCCGGGGCTGGAGACGCGAGCCGGGTGCGGCTGGTGTGCGGGGGAGAGCGGGGCATCGTCGGCCCCGCACCCCCGCGGACCTCTCCTAAAGACAGGCTCCGGTGTCCAGCGCCCACCAGTTGGGTGCAGCGCAGCCACCGCCCGCCGTCACCCCACCAAGCTAAGCATGCTGGGAGTTGTAGTCCCGCCTTTGTTAACCGGGTGCGGGCAGGTTGCTAATGCCTTTTCCAGTCCAGGCGGCCCCGCCCTCTCTGGCCTGTGACCCGGGGAGTGACCGCTGAGATGGCAGACTCCCTGTGGAGCTAACCACCACCACCACTTTTTCCCTGCACAGCCACCATTCTCAAGTCTCTCCACTGCTCCTGATTTTTGCCTGCAGACGAGTCACTCCTTTCCTTCAGGCTGTAGCCAGGCCTCTTGGAGCCTAACTCCTAAATATTTCTTGACCCTGTCTTTTCTCTTCTTTAGTCTGGCTTACTTCAAATATTTTTCCTCTAAGCTCGCCTGGCACCACTTTCTAGCTGGTTCTCTCTTCATTTCATCTCTGCACATGCACCTGGTCCCCTCTCCTCCTCCCTTTCCCCCCTTCTGTATTATACACAAGGCTTTACATTTCTGGCTCCTGCCTAACTTCCCAGCCCGGCCACCAGCTACTCTTCTATACAGACTCTGTGTTTCAGACACTTGCTTTTTTCAACCAGTAGTTATTAAGCGCCTGCTAAGCCACAGTCCCCATTGTCCCATTCTAGGAGCCAGACTTTCCTGTCTTTAAGGAGCTCAGATTCTAGGAACTATGTTTTGTTTCCTTAACTGGATATGCTGTGTTGCATTTCTGTGTCTTTGCCCAGAGACCCTGTCACCTTTCTACACTTGGCTCCCTACCACTGGGCAGTTCAAGCATCACATCATCCATGAAGCCTTCCCTGACCAATTGCCCTTCCATAGGTGCTCTGGTGGCATAATGCTTACGGCATTTGACTGCTAACCAGAACGCTGGTGGTTCAAACCCACCAGCCACTCCTTGGAAGGAAGGTTGGGCAATCTACTTCTGTAGTAATACTGCCTTGGAAACCCAAGGAGGGGTTGCTGTGAGTCAGATTTGATGCCATGGCAATGTGTTTGGTTTGGTTTTTTGGTAGTAAGAAAGAGACAGAGAATTTGCGTAACACAAAACCTGAATTCATGTTCCAGTTCTGACCTCCATCCAATGGTGTAACTTTGAGCAGTCATTGTTGTTGTAGAGTTTATCAAGCTCTATTAGATTAACTTGACTTTTGGACCAAGTACTGAGTGGAGTTTTGGCTTTGTAGACTAAACTCTCTTAACTCTGGCAACCTAAGACCATCTTGTGTCTTGTTGCACATGGCTTTGGTGTTTGGACTTCCCTTTCTCTGCTTAAGGAGTTCTGGTGGTGCAGTGGTTAAGGCATTCAACTGCTAACCAAAAGGTGGGTGGTTGGAATCCACAAGCCACTCTGGAGGAGAAAGATGAGGCAATCTGCTTCTGTAAAGATTTTCAGCCTTGGAAACCCTGTGGCACCATTCTACCCTGTCCTAGAGGGCCACTAAGAATCAGAATCAACTAGATGCCAGTGGGTTTTGGGTTTTTCTCTGCTTTGGCTAATATGTTCTCCCTACCCAGTGTCATTACCTGGCAGGACATTTGCCCAGCCTATATGAGAGGGATATTGGAATCCTATTGTTTATAAAATGTATGCGACCCTGAGTAGGGAGACCTGGTAGTCCAGTGGTTAAAGCACTGAGCATCTAATTAAAAGTGGCCGCTTGAACTCACCAGCCACTGTTTGTGGCAATCTGCTTCTGTAGAGATTACAGCCTTGGGTCCCTGTGGGGTAATTCTACTCTATCCTAAAGGGTCACTATAAGTTGGAATCGACTCAATGGTGATGGGTTTCAATTTGGTTTTGAACCCCAATAAATTTTTTAACTTCCCTGAACAGCTAGTTTCTCATTAGGAAAAGTGAGGAGAAGAATGCTTACCTTTCTCACAAAGTTTTAATGAGGATTAAGTGAGATAATGTATGTGAGAACTCCCAGGACATAGAAGGTTCTCATAAACAGTAGTTTTCCATCTTTTTATCTTTTGCATTCAAGGCTGGTTACATTCTGCTTGCCTTTTCAGTTTTGTCTTCAACCAGTCCTCCTGTCCTCACCCTCAAAGCTCTAGCCACTCTGATTTGCTTGAGGTTCTTCAGACGTCTCATACTGTTTTGTGTCTCTATGCCTTTGCTCATGCTGCTCCTCTACCTGCAGTTTCCTCCTAATTTTGTCTATTTCTGTTTACAGCACCTTGTTCTTGTTGTTATGTGCCATCAAGTACCATCTATTTATTCCTTACCATATGACTTCCACATCAATCACTCTAAACTGACTTTTCTTACCAAGGACAACACGGAATCCCATGGTACCAATTCTAATAGACTCTTTTCAATAGGGGCATTTAACAGAATTGACTATTCCCTTCTTTATTTATCTTGCTTCCCATGACTTCCATGACTACACTTTTCTGGTTTTCTTCCTACAGTTCCTATGAGTTCTGATTGCTCAATTTTAGTCTCCTTAAAAGGTTGCTCCCCTCAACCTCAATATTGAATATTGGAGTTCATTAAGGCTTGGTCCCAAGCCTTCTTTTCTTCTAACTGCATGATTACTCAAGTTTATGCTTTCAATTATTGTCTAAATGACTCATAAACTTACACATTGAGCCCAGACTTCACTTCTGATCTCTAAACCTATATATCCAATTCTCTAATGGACATAGCCATTTGGATAGTTCCCAGGCACCTGAAACCTTATTTTTCACACTAAACCTATCATCCTTCCCTCCAAAATCTCCTCCAAGAATGAACCCTAACTCTGTAAAAAGCTCTTTCCCTGCCCCAGTAATCCATCCAAACACCAACCCTTGTTAATTTGATTTCCTAAATATTTCTTGGATCTGCCAACTTCTTCTCCATTCCCATGACCACTACATGGTCCAAGCTATCATTTTCTCTAACCTGACCTCCTACAATAACCTTCAATATAGTCTCCCTAGGTCTGTACTTGTTCCCACTAATTCATTCTCTACAAAGTAATCTTTTAAAAAGATATATCTAATCACATTATCCTATCCTTAAAACTTTTAAAGCTTTTTGCTTCTAACTGTTCTTTAGCTAAAGTCCAAATCAATAGTGTAGCACCAAAGGCCCTGCATGATCTGGTAACTGCCCATGTCTCCAGTCACATACCAGGCCACTCTCTACCTTGCTCCTTGTGTTGTAGTTACAATGGCCTTTTTCAGCTTCCTCCCAACTTCCCACCACAGGGCCTTTGCACATTCTATTGTCACTACATAGAACATTAATCTTTCCCATCTTTGCTTAGATAACCTTCTCATCCTTCAAATCTCAGCTTGAATGTCATTTCCTTAAGGATAATTTTCTTGATTTTCCCATCTAGGTTGGACCTTCTGTAATATATTTTTATCATTCCTGTACTTTTGTTCATATAGCTTAGCATAGTTATAATTAAATAATTATGTGTACATCTCCCATATTGTACTGTAAGTACATG